ACGTTGCCGCCGCACACGCGGCCAAAGACGCCTCACGAGACAGGGTACATCACGCAGCGCCCTCACGTCGTACGAGGGTGACGCGTAGAAGCCGAGGAGGGGAAGTGCCGGAGACGGGGCTCTAACCACCGTACGCCACAGCTCATCTAATCCACGAGAGAGCAAGGCGACGGGTTGCCCCCTCAGCGACTCCCGTGTGTACGTCGCTAGCTTATACGGACGAGGGGACCGCGTTGAGCACAGCCCATCGGGGAGGGTCGTGCTACAAGCAAGGCCGCGGTGTAGGCCAAGGGGAGAAATCGATAACGCACGTCGGGGAGCAAAGGACAAGAAAATGCCTTAGGGGCTTTTACCAGAGGGAGCTGTCAAGGGGTGCCGCGTAATCGTCGGTAGACCCGAGCGTTCAACGGATCGTACCGTTCGAGGGGGCCGACGAACCGGAAGCACGCCCCGTCGGAGGACAATAGCTGGGGTGCGAAGGCACGTCCGCCTCCGTCTCGTGAAGCGGTGGAAGGGCGACTACGCCATGCGTTGTCCACCCGCGAGCTGGGTTAACCGAAGTCGCGGGTTCGTCGGCCATCGAAGAGCCGAGCTCGCGACTCTGGTAAGGGTCTCGAAGGCCCTGACGTGGCACCGGGCCAGGAAGGCTCACGGCCGACGGAGCGGCGCGTTCGGCCCTGAGGGCGTCCCGCTCGCCGCGGTATCTATCGCGATCGGACGCCGCGCGCCGGAGACCACTCGCCTGTAGGGAGGACGACTCTCGTAGAACCTTCAGCTCATCCTGAGAGCCGCGGAGCTGCTCTGCGAGGGAGTCACGCTCCGCGGCAAACGCCTGTCGTTCCGCCCCGAGACGGCACGCTTCGCTGCTACGTTCGACATACCAGCTCGTGAGGGTACGGAGTAGTCCCTCTACAGTCCAAGCCCTATCGACCAGACTCCCCAGGGCGCGAGACAACCCGGGGATTGCGGTGAGCTCGTCGCGAGCTAGGTCAAGGGTCAACGCGGTGTTCCGTTGGGCACCGAGGCAACCGACGGAGCCAAGGGAAGGCAGAGGGGGCAACGGGGACCCCGACGCAGTATCGTGACCCGCCTTGGGAAGCACCGACGGCACGCGCACCCTGGCCAACGCGATTGCGGGAAGCTCGCCGTCCAGGTCACGATACCGCTTCCGACGCGCCTCGCGCACCGTAGACCCGACGCCTCCCTTGCCTCGGGACGGGCCTGAGGTGGGGACGCTTGGACGGGCCACGAAGGAGTCGCTCCGATGGTCATACGCGAGAAAGAGGCTCCGAGTCCCTGTCGTGTAGTCCGTCCAAGGACGACGATTACGTTCGGGCACCGCACCGGCGCGGTGCATCAGGTCTAGTACAGAGGAGTACGACCAGGCCACACACGGTGAGCCACGCTCGAGAGGATGCATAACAACGTCCGGAAGGGATAGCGCCACTCGCCCAAGGAAGGAGAGTACCCCCACGGGTTGCACGAAAGCACGCCCGTGGAGAGAGACCTCATTCATGAAGGCGTTACCGAGACACCACGCCCATTCTCGCTCTACGTTGTACGCGAGGTAATCGAAAACCGGGTGCTTCGGGTCACCGCAGGCGAAGCCGAAGTGCTTCGAGATGTAGGGGAGTAACGGGTGAACTCCCAACGAGGGGAGCGACTCCCCTACGACCGGCGGAAGCTCAGGGAAATCGCTTCTCGACAAGCCCGGGGAGAACGAGGCGGACGGGAACACGCGCCCGTCCTCTTCCCCGCGGTGCCGGTAAGTCGCACAATCGTTGGGCGCCAGGGCAATGTAGTGAATCCGCATGAGGGAACATGCGGACTTCTGGAGGGCCGCTCGCGCCTTAGAGCAAGTGCGCGGACGGGGGCCGACGTAGAGCCCAGTGACCTCCGGGAGAATGAAGCGAGGGGGACCACGGGGGCCCCGGTGGAAGAGGTACGCCGACATCTGGTCGACATACTCGACCTCTTCCACGCAAAAAGCGAAAGTCCTATCGCTAGGAATCTCGTCGGGTAGTTGGTAAGGAGCGCCACCGCCCTCGGCGAGGAGGCAACCCAGCGCCAAGGAGGCCTCTTCGGTCAGCCCTCCTTCGTATATGGACCGAATTCGTAGAAGGTCAGGACGTAGGGACTCCCTTGACAGCAGCTCGCCCACGGTGACGCTCGCCCGCGCATGGCGTCGCCACGCGTATGTCAAGCGACCGAGCGGTAGCGGGATTGACCGCTCCAAGGGCACCCCCAGCCACCTCGTGGAGGTGTTGGAGGCCTCCCTCTCTCCGCCCTCGTCGAGGCGGGGGGCAGCGCGCGGCGCACCGGGATGCCGGCAGCTGCCAAAGGCCCCAGGCGAGCCCTCCCCGGGGTCGTACGGGCCACCGCGGGGCCCCGTCATGAGGTCTCCACCGGATGGGCCGACCGCGTCGTCAACACGCTCAGGTCGAAGCGGCACCGAGGCCCCAGTCACCGGACGAGCATCTGGCAGCGGGATGATGGAAGCAGGGGGGCATAACTCGTCGGACACGGTAGAGGCGCGACCCCCTCGGGACTTCCGGAAGGGACGCGGAGGCCACCATGGCGGGGGAGCCGACGAATCGGTACCTCCCTTCTCGGCGGAGGTGGGGGCCTCAGTGGTCAAGGGGCAGACAACCGGCGTGCTCGATCCACTGCCAGGCGGGGGCAGAGGGAGCGAGGGACCGCCCCGAGAAGGGATGAGGGGCGACATAGGGAGACACGGGACGCGCGAACCGAGTACGCGACCGACAGAGGTGACGAACCCGTGAGGAAGGACGGGAGAGGGAGCCGACCGAGCTGAGGCCGGATGAACGAGGGCGGACTCCCACGACGGGGGTAGTAGGGTGATGACGAGAACCAGCCCGGAGGGCACACGCAGGATCGCGCGCCGGAAAGGGGGCAGGGGTGACGGGGTGACGACGAATTCGTCGTCCCCAGAAGGGGAAGAGGAATGACCTGCGCGCGAGTAGGGAGGTGCGAGACGGAACACGGAGGATAGCGAGCAGGGAGCAGAGTCGACAGGGAGAGCGGAATCGACCGTATAGACGGCGTGGCCGGACATGTTGTCCCCTCTCTACAAGCACCCGTGGACGCGGACGTCCCCGCTTAAGGGGGGGTCCGTGTAGTATAACCCCCCCCTGGGGCTTTATTTTAGATTAGATCAACTCAGAATCGGATCGGTTACTGTAGAGCTCGATGCTCTACAGTACCACCACGTGTAACCCCGAGTACAGGGGGCGCACGTGTACACGTGTACGCGCGGGACCGAAGAGCCCGCACACACACGTGTACTGTCAGCCCCGATGGCTGACAGTATTACAGTGTTGACCGACCGCTACAGTACGTCGCTACAGTACATCGGTACTGTACTATTATGATAGGTTATCATGTACATTAAATATGGAGCGGACCGGCGGCGGTGGAGGAAGACAAGCACGGACTTGTCACCCACCGACCGTCAAGGTCCGACTTCTCGCTTATTCTAAGGTAGCGCTCGCTAACTACCTTAGAGCGGCACCGAGCGCGGGTTGAGGACGCGCGCGGTACGCCCACGAGTCGGCTCCGCCTCCGCCCGTCGGTACTGGATCGTTACCCAGTACCGCGCCGGGGCGTCGAGGCGTCGAACCGCTCGCGCGTACCGGCGTCCTCCCCGTTCCCGCTCTACCACGCTACCCGGGCCCGCTGCCCGGTGCCGTTAGCTGGTGTCCCGCTTCACCCCCGTCTCCCCGTTCGGACGGGGTCTACGTCGAGCTGTGCATACACCCCTCTCCGTTGGGGGTGTTTATGCTACACTCCCGCCGGCGGGACAGTTTCGCTTGGCATCTATCGCCGGACGCCAAGCTACTTCTCGAAAGGCGTTTCGCGTTTCCCCTCTATTTGGTCGATGGAAATGCGCTGCCCGGTCGCATGCCCTCTCCTCATTCAGTTCCAGTCTTCGTGCCGTGCCCCGCTCTGCTGGGTGTGTGGGCGCGCTTCCTCCGTACCCAATCAGGAGTGCTCGTCGCCCCACGCTGGCCCAAGCAGCAGTGGTACCAGAGCGCGGCTGCCGTCGTGCGTCCGACTCCGCTCCTGGCGAGCGTGACGCCGCCTTCGGAGAGCGTCGCGTTCGCTTTCAAGCCTCCGCCCGCCGTCGATGGCAGGAGGAAGGCACAGTCGCGGCTGCGCGGCTACTACGACTCCGGGTGGGTGCCACACACGCGGCGCACCTGCTCGGCCGCAACGTTTCCGCCAATACCCAAAGCGCCTACCAGCATCATTGGGAGGCGTTTACTGCTTTCTGCGACGGCGATGGGTCTCTGCGCTCCCTGCCACCCCGGTCACTGTGGCGTGCTATCTCGGACATCTTTATGGCAAGGGCACAGTGCGGGGCGGCTCCATCCGACCGTACGTCGCGGCCATAGGCTCGCAACACCGCCGCTATGACTACCAAGATCCAACCAAAGATCCTCTTGTCTGCGCTACTCGCCGGGGGTACCTGTCGAACGACGCGGTCCGCTCTGATGGTCCCCCGAAGCGCTCCGCACCTCTCCCGGCGGACCGTGCGTTACGAGCGATGACGCTAGCGCTAGAGACCTCCAACGTCCGCCGTCTACAGGAATGGGGAATTGTAGCCCTCGGATTTTTAATATGCTGTCGGCCGACAAGCATACGCCTACTTCGTCGGCGGGACGTTGAGTTCAGCTCTAGAGAAGTGACTGTGCAGATGGTCCACTTCAAGTTTTCGGAACAAGGCGCATCGCCGCGCATCGCCCTACGCATCCCCGTCTCTTCCTCTGCTGACCGCGTCTACCAGCTTCTCTTCAAGCTCGTTGCAGCTGCCCCGTCGCCAAGCTCCTACCTGTTCCTAAGGTACCCGCACAAACGCGCTCCACTCACCGCCGCCACGCTGCGGGCCTCCCTCGACGCCCTCGTGGCGAGCATCCGACCCCCCGTGGGCACTTGCTTCACCGCCCGCTCGCTCCGCAGCGGCGGGATATCCGCCGCCTATGCCGCGGGGGTGCGGCTGGAGACCATCATGCGGATCTCCAACCACAGCTCGTCTGAGGCCCTCCTTTAAGACAGCATGGACGGGCATGTTTGGACATGTATGGACGTCAGCGTGCACCTGATTGGTCCATTTAATACTTTTCTTAACAGTATGATGGCGCACACAAAGTTAAAATAATGGAATCTGTCTCTACCAACGTGCCATACGAGAGCACACCATTGGCTGTCGCCTACCGCATAAGTGCGATTGAATTCAATCTTGATCCAATTTAGCATACATTAAAATTCAATTTAATCATTTTATTGACGTCCCTGAATGCCAGTACACGGGGATCGCGATATAGTGCCTCCCTCTGTCAGTGGGCCGAAAACGGCACTATATCGAACCAGGCACTGTAAAATAATGAGATTTGCGGCTTTTTTGCAGCCACTTCCTTGCATCACTGCTCAGAAAGACCGTTCGCAAGACGCCATCACTCATACTTTGCATCTTCACTACAGACTCAAGTCTAATCAAGCATTTATGTCATTAGTAGCTTCCGAGCCGTCGCATTGACTTCCTCCATTTTTGCAGCAATAAACGCCAGCCTACACTTTTGCAGATGTCCAATTGCATCATCGACCCTGCCTTTTTCCGCCATAGTCTCTATTCTAGTAAGCAACTGCATAATATCTTTCCGCGGCGGCAGCGGCTCTCGGGCAGTACGTCCATCCAACTGCCTCTCTGGAGACCCTTAGTTTTTGGCTCAAAATTCGCGCCACCCGCAAAAGGGTATCGGAGCTGGCACTAACAAAGATGGCACTCTATCGTGACCCCCCTGTACACTTGAAAAAAGGCGGGAGGCTGGCAATCGAAGGAGATGCGATTCGTCTCCCGGCAGAACCAAACCAAGACCCAAAAAGACATCCTTTCTACCCTCTTCCCTATCGATAGCCCCGTATGATGCACCCCTTGAGCCAATTTACGGATCACGGCGCGCTGACACAATACATTAAATTATTGGACATGTAATATTTTGAAAATCGCAAACATATACATCCAAACATGGCTGTCCATGCTTTCTTAAAGGAGGCCCTGAGGTGGTGCATAAGCATTACCTAGACGCATTAATGCCGGTTACACCGGCGGCACGGTTCTTTTTTGGGCGCTTTGCGCCCCCTGCTGCCCTTCAGTGACGTCCTGTGACCTGCGTCACTGGTACGTCACGGGCAGTCTCGCCTACTTTGCAAATCCACTCTGCGCGGGACCTATATTACGGTTATGTATCATTTGATCACAGTGTAATGCCACTCACCGCCGCTCTCGCTGACACCACGGTGACAGGTCACCGACGTCACTCGCGTGACTTCAAATCTCACGCGCCCGCCGTAGCTTCTCGTAGTTTATCAAGGGGTTGTGGCAGTGCTGGTCAACGACGAGGCCCTTCGGCAGTCATCCGTTTCTCAGCACCCGCCCTCCCGCTCTTTGCGGCGTTAGCGCGCCGTTTTCTGCCAACCGTCTCTGCTTTTTACATCTAGAAATTGCGTTCACCTGCGTTACAATTGCGTTCACTTGCGTTACTACATGATAATCCTTACCCAGATGTCTCTCCTGAATAAAATCTGTGTTACAGGCAAATCGACTCTGCGCGGGACCTATATTACATCAAAAAGTTCGCTTTGGTCCATGATTGAAAGGTCGTTTTTCGCCCCAGGGGCCCAAACATCACAGCCATATTCGCAAGCGATCACCACAGACGACTTCCAAATAGCACGCAGCTTTCCTATCCCGACCCCTGAACTGCACTTTCCATGCCACAGGGCACTTTTCACACTCACATGATGCGCAATCCACACACCCGAAGCACCCTAGAAACCCCAAATGACTGTAGCTCTCCTCAATCTTATGTATGTCGTCCTTGTTCGGATATCGGAGCCATTTCCTTTAGAAATACTTGACTAAAGCGAACACAAATCTCTTCAGACACTCAATGTTTGTGCTTTCGGCCATTCGAACGTAGTCAACGACAGAATCTGCAGACACACTGACACAAATCTGCAGTATGGCGGAAGTGAGCTTTCGGTCCGTTGAAGCTCCGTTGCGTAAGATCGCATCTGATTTCTGAATGAAATAGGAATCGACGGCGCAGACACCAGCACGTAACATTTCATATACCTCTCAAGGCATTCGATAGCGGCGCTCAAACTCGGCTTTGGAGAAAGTTGGATCACCTGCATTATGGCGGCAAAAGTAGTCCTTATCCATCCTAAATCCGGCCTGCATGCGCTGTATATCTCTGTTGGCGGTCTTGCCCTTGCGAGAACCGCCTCTCCGCCCCTGCACCCTGGACATTACTTTCGTCATTGTCATGGCACAGCTAATGACAACTGATGTGGCATAGTCTTCCAGCTCCGAGTCCGAACTCGAGCCGGAATCGGAACATGTAGGGAAGGACATTGGGGAAGTTTGGATGGAGCGGGCGAGGGGAAAGGACAGGTTTTGGTTTGGCCGAAAGTATGGATGGAACACCAGTGGGGATGAGCGAGTTTTGGGAATAAGCCCAAAAACGTATTTTGGTCTGGCCAATGGCCGCACAGCAGATTTTGGTCTTTGGGCTGATGCGGTGGGGATGCCCTGAAGTGGTACTCGTTTGCGAAGTTACGGATTTCCCGTGTCCCCCAGCACGAAGCAGCGTGTCTGCACGATGTAGCCAGGAGACAATATGCTTGTCTATCGGCTGCTACTGACTGTCAGCCAGCTTAACTACAGTCGGTTGGAGTAAAACTGCTGGCTTCATTATTGTCTGCACTGTGGTGCAGACTTTTTCCACAGTAAATATTTAGTGCGGACATCTGCAATTTTTGCACTGCGCTGAACCCCACCTTTGTGAAACAAGCCCTTTTGAGTGACATGTAGGGGTTGTCTACTAGGTCCCTAATTCAAATATCCAGCTTTCGCCCTAACTGTATTCGCTTGCTCAGCGACTCGGTCTCTTCGGAAACGACAAGGTCATTCAAAGACAGTAAATTTATTGCAAATTCAATTGCAGTCGTGACAATTCACTACCGCTTACTGAGAAAGACCTGCATTCGCTCAATACACCGGCAACTAGGTAGAGACTAGATCTCTTGACTCCGTTCCCGGCCCGAGTAAATCCAGAGCACAACTTGTGCGAAACTGACGCTGCATGAGATCGGCTCTTTTCTCTTGGTACCCCTTTTGAATACGGCGTCTGCGCTCTAACTGGCTATTCCCAATTTGGTACCAGCGGTTCGTCAGCTGCTGGTACAAAGTCATGTCCTGTGCTCGCAACGGCCTCCAACGAATGTGAAAATTGGTCAGACCGAAGCACAGCCTGAACACTGGATCATAGTTGTTTTCCGACCACTTCCACTTTGAACCTACCACCGATCACAATCCACACATGCGACCAAAAACGTTTTCGACAAGAATGCGATAGCTAGAAATAGATTTGTTCTCCGCAACCTCTCCGGGAAATAGAAACGCACCCGGGGGCTTTCGTTTTGAGTGTATCACCCTTCAAAACCCGGTGGCTCCTTGGTAGCCCTTGTGTGCCAAAATGGCCCATTGCCTCGGATATTCCTCTTCGAGAGGCCCAGAGTCTTCTATCGTAGCCTCATTCTACTTTTTGCGCAGAACGCGTTCGTGGAACCATTGCATTTTCTTGAAAATGACCAAATCTGAGACCGACCCAGGCTCATGCAAACTTGAACAAATTGCAAACCCGTTCGGTGTAACACTCACTTGGACCTTGTAGCCATAGAGTTTGTGTTTGCCACTGAAACACTTTTTGCCCTCTTGGAGGCTTCCAGATGGGCGAAAGGAGGGTTGGAAAGTGACGTCAGTGGCATAACGTTCCCTGAGGTATTCCTTGAAGAGCTTGTTGTTGTCAGAAAAGGATTCCATGGACCAACGTTTGTGGCAGTATGTGACTTACTATTCATACAACGGTTCAGAGAGGATGCGAATGAAGCGGACAATCAGTCGCTCAAAGGCTATGGTCTTTTGGCCAAAACTTTTGGCCAAAAAATCCCAGATTCCACCATGTTTCAGAACCGAAAGGGTCATTAACAGGACATCCTTTGGGCTGTGTGTGCTTTTACGCCCCCTTTCTACATTGTAATTATCCGAAATGAGGTTCTGAAACTCAGCCCAAATGCCAATAAACTGGGCTGGGTTAAAGTTAATCATTTCAATGATTGCGTGAGCCCCGCCCTGAACTTCAAATTGATTGAAAATGGGCGAGTCAGAGCCGTTGCCTTCGTCGCTGTCATCGGGACTCGCTGTGTCGTAGAGCTCGAGCTCGTTCTTCCGCTCAATTGCGGCAGTAGATAGCAGTTGGAGAGTTTTGGCTGCCTCTTGTGCTGGGAAGGTGGCCATCAGGGAGTGCTGAATGTCTTGTTAAGCTGGTGGGTGATGGTCGGGGGGCTCGCTTCGGTAGTTGCAGACGGACGTTTATTCGAAATGTCCAGGTCATTTGCGCAATGACCCCGCTGTTTGGTTTTTTTCTCCCGCGCCTTCGCACTACTGTAGTGCACAGGAATTGAACACGTCTTTGTGCATGCGTGCTTTGTATGCAGTACTAAATTTTCTTTCTCGATTTACTGGGTGTATGAAACTTCACTTGATCATAACGATTTTAGGACTGTCTTTTTATCGCATGGTTGAGTCTCTTACATGTCCCCCATATTTTCGTAAAGGGTCTACTGGCTACGAGTGCAGACACCCTCCGAGTGCAGATATAAACCCCGAGGCTTGCCGAGGGCATCATATCGCAGCACGGAGCAGCGTGTCTGCACAATATAGCCAGTAGACAATAGTGAGTTTACGCCTGACAATTTCACACAACATTCACATAAGATTCCGCAATTAAATACAGGTGTCAATTCCAGTTACAGAATTCCCGCACACGGAACCCGGCGAGTTGCTGAAATGGGAGATTTATGTGAAGCCAAAACTGCAATGATTTCCCGCCTTTATCAACGACTCTTCTACAAGGAATCTTCTCAACAGCGCCTCAGATCCCTCAACAACTTGTGTCGTAGTCGGACCAAATCATGGAGCTCTTACCGACCTTCCAGCCATTGCCATCATTACCAACAAGTCCGGAGCCCTTGAATCCATCCCTCGACCTAGCTCAACCCCTTTGCGTTCAACTGTAGAAGCAGCTCACAAATCCAAAACAGGACGAAGGTCAAAATTTAGCAAACAGGACGACCTGATCCTTCTACGCGAGGTATGTGCAGCAAAGGCCCACGTATCTCCGAACGGGGAGACGACATAACGGTTCGAAACTGTGG